ACTTTAAAGCATGGAAAATGAAGGTTAAAAAGCTGTTTTCTTGCTCAATAAAACCTTCCACCTTTTGTTGGAATGGCATTTCCTTCGGGATTTTCCCGAGAGTGATATAAAATTCTTCTCAAATCACTTTCCCCCTAGATAGCAACTAGTAGCAGTCTCAGAATGTATTAAGTTTCTAGCGTCGAAAATGTCCAGGAGGATGTCTTTGACAGTGAAGCAGAACCCAACTGCTCACTGGTTTTTAAAACGTGCATAATTTAATGGAAGACTCAAATTAATTGCCAAGATTACCAGGATCAGCCGGACAATCAGTGTGGGCATCCTATGTTGGTAATTTCAATTACATGTTCTCAAACGCCAAGATTTTCGAATTAATAGCTAAAAAGGACAGGATGCTGAAATTTTGAGAGGATGCTCCATGCCCAGTCACAACTTTGAATAATTAAATTCAGCTCTCACGCATCCTAGATCTCACGTGCAGACATATATTATTGAGACTGTAATTGAGACTTAGGAGTGCTTGAGATACCTCAGTTCCTAAATGTATCCGAAGCGCCAAAGCCAGGATAAAATCTTAGGATTCAAGCACTGTTATAAAACCTACGAAGTTCCCCAGCTGTTTTTAATGATGTAATAAGGACTGTTGCCTTCATAACCAATGCCAGCGACGAGCCAACCATGTCCTCCAATAGTGGCAGCGCATTCCGCCTGTGTTGGCCGATAGACTTGCCCACCTTTGAAGTACTGCAGTGCACGTGTGACCATAACCGCTGTAATAAAAAGATCTTGTTTCCTCGATCTTTTTTTCTCACGTTTCCTTGAATTCTGTTAATAAGAGATTCTTTTACTTTTTCCTAGCATTAGAAATACACTATTGATATCGCACTACAGCTATAGGGAGCTTAAAAGTTAACACTATGCACTTAACTTACAAGTGACCATCACCAGCAGCTGACCACTGGACAATGCAATATTCATAGAAACTTCCGCGTACAAACTCTTCACGAATTGATGCATATAACATGAACAGTAGCGCAACAGAAATAGTAACGGATATTATGGTTATGTTTTTCGCATGTCGCACAGTTGATACATCAGTACATGTGATGTATTTGTACAATATCTGTACTGAAGGCAGTCAATCCCGAAAAATGCTTTATTCTTAGATTTCTATGTTGGTCAAAGCAATTGGAAAAGATTTGCCAGCTGCACAGCTTCAGTAGCACTATTTCTACTATTTTTCTTCTACTTCTACTACTTCAGTGGCACCCCACGAATTAGATTGATCAAATCCTTGAAAATTTGTTATGCAATCTAAAGATCATGAATCAGTAAGGGAAAGTTGAAAACCTTCCTATAACAGGGTTCATGCGCAATTTTTTATGCGTTTTTGCTGTGCAGCGCTATAGCAGCGCTATAGCGCTGCTACAGCCAGCAAA